TAATAAATTTCTTTTTAGAGTTGCCAATCCATGCGACGATATGTGAACTCATTCCTGCTTGAGAGTTATCATTTTTATCAAATCTGAATTAGAATGATTTCACGTACGATTCGTCAGCGAATGTCACATGGTCAACGACCTTTTCCTAGGCTATTTTAGGTGTCTACTGGAGATAATCAGATGAATCGACACTTGCTTGTGAATGTTCTAGAAGTCAAGACGCCATCGAAAGTTATTAAATAGTTTCTCTAACAAATTGAGTAGCATCTCAAAGGTCGAATTTGAAAGGTTTGTTCGTACAAAGTTTGTTTTTTGAGACTTTGAATTTCAATTGAAGTTAAATTCGTGTTCAGCGATGAAAAATCTGTAAGAATATCGTGGTCCGATTCTTAAATCAGAAAAAGTCATTTTTTGTCGCCCAGCGTAATTTTGTTTAAAAACCAGCTCTTTCTTGCTCGGGACCAACTCGGGACGTGTAACTCTAAAATTTAGGTATATGTGACTGCCTGCGAGAAAACGTTCCTTAGCTCAGAAAAATTAATCTTCAGTTTTTCATGATAATCGATAGATTTTAAGTTGCCCTTTCACATGCAAAAGTAAAAAATTGTGTATATCAATTACTTTTTATGTTATTATAGCTATAAACCTTCAACAGTTTACACAAACAGCCAAGCAAGCTTATACCTTTTTCCCTTTTCCTGTAAAATTTACGTTTGTGAGCTAAGGCACATTTTCTCGTCGAAAGTCACATATCGTCGGAGCTTCTTCAATACCGCGCAACTGTAAATTCTTTAAAGTGCTACGCAGATGCACGAACTTGCAGTAGTTTCGGCCATATGTTGTTCTTTTAAAAAGTTGTCTACAAACTTCATCACATGATCTAATTCTACGAACAATGAGTAAAAGTCAGAAAATACTTAAGTCCTAAAAAAAGTAATGATCACGCAGATTTAAATACTAGATTCTTTGATTGTCTTATTGGGGTTTACAATGGAATTTTCTTTAATCACCCGTAAAGTATTTAAATAATTTTGAAAAATCTACTGTTTCACTTATGCGAATAATGGTTTAAACATTTGCTTTCTTTGGTGATGCTCCTTTTACTACAACAATATAAGCAATTAGGATATGAACAGTAATTTTATTCTCCCATTATTAGAAATTAGTTGATAAGGTTATTTGACATAAGTGTAGTTACATTACGCTTTAAGCGTTCACTGGTTAGATTATTGTTTCGACGATGTTGCAACGCATAAGAGCATGTTTAATGCATTCAGAGTAATAACAAGGTAGTTCGTCGATATACTTTCTTCCACTAATACATTTTTATGGTCTGTATTCTAATCTTGATATTCTTTTAGTCTTCCATGGCAATAAATCTTTAATCGTTTTCTTACTTCATATACTAAATTTTCTCATTTGAACGATAAATCAGGAACGTGATTCAAAAGGCGTTAAAGTGATTTACTTCCTGTTCAATAATCTGATACAATTTTCGATTAGAGTTTCCATGGAAGAGTTTCCATTCTGAAACACACATGATATTATGAATTATTTTTTCGGTTTCTTGGTACTTTTTAGATGCATTTAACTGAATTCACCGATTGCTGTAATAGGTTTCTATCTTGAGTACAAGTTCCATTAAATTTTACCACTAAATACAATGTCTGGAATCATCATCATAAAAAACTTATTCCCCTGGTTGATGGTGATAATATCTGTGTAATGATATTTTAGATTTATCAAAACTGATTTTCACCTCTCCTACTGCATTTTCCTTTCTACCAAGTTTGAAAAGTGAAGAATTTCGAGGCAAGTCCAAGAGCACGGTATGAAGTTCCTACTTTGAAATATTACGTAGGAACTCTATACCTCGCTGCTGGATCTATACCGTAAACAGATGTACCACAGCAGCAATTCTTCTTGTTATCTACTGTAAGTTGACAGTTCCCATTCATCCTGAAACCAAACAGTGTTGACTTTTTTGATTATAATATTATAATGTAAGCGAAGTAACCTTTCTTTTTGATTAAGATATCTGAATAGTATTAAATGAAGCTTCTTTTGATGAGTCTATTAAGTGTCTAAATACTCAAATCTAGACTAAAAAAAGTTGTCTTTCTATACTTAAAAGGATTATACTGTTCATGCGCTTATGAACATTCTGAATAAAATCCGTAAAATTTTCTTGTTTTAAAAAGAAAAATTTTGCAGAATTTCTGTAGAATCACTTTTCAGATTCCACAGAATGTTGATTTCACCATCTGCAAGAACATGTTACGTAGAAAATTGTTATAAAAAACTTTGAATGTCGGAACAATTCTAAATGAGAGTAAAAATAAATAAGTAAGATTTGAAGATATTTTTATGCGAAGTATCTTGAAAATGGAGAGAAAAGGGTATTGTTGAAAGCTTTCTGAAATTAGTGAGGTTTATAAACAATAAGTGGAGTATGCAGCACCTTTAGAAAAGTATTCTCCATTTACTTCGTATGATGACGGGCGTGGTGAATTCTTAGGAATGGCGCTCGCTCAATTGAGGGTGGTCTTTTCTACGTATACACAAATACTTCGTATCCTATGCATCCCCTAACATACCGCCCATATAGTCAAACCCATACGCAACACCCTCTTCTCGTACCTTAAGTCCTCCCCTACTTACATATACATATGTCGTATACGTCTGCAAAACTTTTCTCTTCAATTCAGGAAATAAGTACATCTGCAAGGCATAAACAAGAGGGCTCTTGCAAAGTTTTTCAAAAATTCCACCAAGGTGTGTATGATGTAAAGTTTTACATATTTCAAAGGTGGGTACTTGGAAAAAATACATATCCCTCCATTAGGAAAATTTCCCTTAAAACAAAGAAATCTCGTATAGCAAGAAGAATTTTAAGGGTACATTCTAAATTTTAATTTACAAGTAAAATTTTTAGTTATTCAATTCAATTGGTTGAAGCAAGCAACAAATTCATCCATACATATATATACTGTGATAAAGTCTCTGATTGGGTAGCGACTAGGATGCAACTGATTCAGAAAGTCCATATATTCATTAATGTAACGGCAAATAATCACTGATTTGACAGTCTACATATGCTGTTTGAATCAGATGCATACTTATTGTTATACAATCAGCAACGATGATCCATTCCGATGATTCAACTTTAGAATTTTGTAGTTAGAATGTCATATATGACAGACTTCATCTCTTTTTTACTTTTAAGAACTTAGCTTACAATTAAAACTATCTACCACGTCATAACGTGCTTTGTCACAATCTGGTAAAACTCTTCTTTTGGAACACAACTGAAGCGTTAATCCCATAAGCTTAGGACACTTTCGTTGAACTTCATGGGTATAGCAATGCGTTTGGTACAAATTTTACACTAAAACAGGTGTAATGTAATTTGTTTAGAAATGGAACAAATCTAAATTTAGCGAACATATAAATCAATGATAATGGCATTATCATTAAAATAGTGCAATAGAAAATAGAAAAATTGTGTTCCTGAATATATAAGAAAAATTTAATGACAAAAGCTCAACTTATACTTAAAGTTTTTTTGATTCCTTTGTTTTAGAAAATAATTACGAGTGAGGCATACATTGCTCTTGGAATATAAAAAAACTTTGTTCATTTATAAATTATTTAGATTTTTTCTGGGAAAATAAGATAATTGTATAGGAGAACCTACAAAAACGTATAAAAATCATCCAAGAATCACAAATTATAACCAGATATTTCTTCAAGGACTTTGAAAAAATGCTGTTAAATTTAGAGCCTTGATCTTTAATGCGATGACAAGTTGTTTAATTACCTTTCCATTTACTTCTGGAGGCCCCTTGGACGTACTATCATTAAACACACATTACTGCTTAATACTGAAAAAAAATATTTTTATACTCTTCTAATATGCATTAAATGTATCTTATAGTTCAAATGAGCTAACAATTTCTTTCTCATCCTAAACAATTTTTTGAAACTTTGTGTTCTAAATCAAGACACTCCTTTAATGTCTACATTTCTGAATGAAATGTGTTTTAAAAAAAACAGATTTCATGTTATTTTCAGATTATAGAAAAACAATCTAACTATTAAAACCCCTGTAAGACTGAAATAGAAGGGAATTAAGAAACAAGTTAAATGAAAAATAAGAACCTAAATACCTGCTTCTAAAATCTTATTAAAATTTTTTATTAACTCAAAAAAAAGAATTATCTCTTGAAACACATTATTTATGAAAATTGAAAATTAATTTCCATACATGTGTGGCGACTGTAATCTAATATCATTTTTTATTACACGGAATTGACACAAACAAATAAACACACATACACACACATAATGTAACACACTACATGAAATATCATTATGTTTCTTATGTTGAATTCTTGGTTGTGCTCAAAAATAATATTAATATAAATTGTAACTTATACAGTTTTCTAAATGTAAATTTAGTTTTCCTTAAAAGTGTTCTGTACGAAACTTTTCTTCCCTTTACGGTCAACGTGTATACCTACACCGAGACCCTATCATAAAAATCGGTTCGTACAGGATAATAGCAAATATGCAGGTTTAAACTTGCAATTCCCACTCTTTACCACTTTTTCATCTTTTTCTATCCTTTACATATTTTTGGCTAATTTTTCTCTATCTCTTTTCCCAAGCGACGCTTAAGTTTGGTAGTAGCCATTTTACATTCAGTAATTGCCTACTTCTCGTCCTGAGCACAACCTCGCTCCGAGAACAAAATATTTTTAATAAATTATTGATTTTGTTAATTTAAATTGTTGTATTTTTATTTATTCTTATAAATTACCCGAACGACTAAAGTGGTGACCCCGACGTGATAAGTTCATGATAAATAAAATAAAAAAAAGGTCGTTTGTGTAACTAATTAGAATACAACAGACTCATCCGTAACCGCGATAATCTTTTCGCGTTTTAAGTCGTGCTTGAGTGATTTTGAGTATAATATTTTATTATTTAAATTCAAAATGACAAACGAAGAAAACGATTTTGGAAACCAAGCAGGCGCGCTTTTGGGACTTTTGCGTGACGCGCTCGCGGGTAATCGGCAACGAATCAAGTTATCTGCTTTCAATATTTCTGATCCGGAATTGTGGTTCGTGCAAGCGGAGGAAGAATTTCTCGCGGGAAATATTACCTCGGAACGTGAAAAATATATGTACGTGACAAAGGTGCTTGATTCGCGAGTGTCAAATGAAGTGCGTGATATATTGTTCAATGTGCCACAAGAGAAACCATACACAAAATTAAAGGAGGAAATAATAAAAAGATTGTGTTCTTCTCAAGAGGAAAAAACTCGTATGTTGCTAGAATCTCAAGATATTGGAGATAGGAAGCCTTCTCAATTTCTCCGTCATCTCCGAGGACTCGCAGGATCAACAGTCACTGATGCGATGTTGAAAACGTTATGGTCCGGACGACTTCCTGTCGCTATGCAGCCGATACTCGCCGTACAAAAGGATGCAAGTTTAGACAAACTGGCTGAGATGGCAGACCACATTCATGATCTCACAAGGTCAAAGCCAATGGTTGCAGAAACGTCCAGGATCACAGAAGATCTGGTGCAACAATTTACCCGAGTCCTAACTTCTTTAGAAGATAAGGTAACAAAGTTGCAACTCGAAGTGTCGGAAATCCGCGGTAATAATGGACCTCACAGGTCTCGCGAAAGATCGAAATCTCGCGCGCGCTCTCGATCTCGCGGTAATTATGCAGCCGAAGGCGTCTGCTGGTACCACGCGCGTCATGGACCGAACGCTACGAAGTGTACGACGCCGTGTTCGTACAAAGCGGGAAACGCGAAGGCCAGTGCTTAATGGCGTCAGACGGTACTGGCCCAATGCAATCACGCCGTATTTTTATTCAGGATCGAAGTTCCAAAGTGCAATTTTTGGTGGACACAGGAGCAGATTTGTGTGTGTTTCCGCGGTCTATGATCCGCGACCAACTTCCCAAATCCTCCTACGAACTTTCCGCCGCGAATGGATCAACTATCGCGACATACGGTACATCTGTCATGACGCTTGACTTGGGACTTCGTCGCGATTTTCCCTGGAGGTTTGTCGTAGCTGACGTCACAAAACCGATCATCGGTGTCGATTTTTTAGCTTTTTTCGAACTTCTCGTAGACGTAAAAAATCGATCGTTAATCGACAAGAAAACTAACCTAACTTCTGCGGGAAAAAGTGTAACGAGTGAATCACCGAACATTAAAGTTATCTCTGGTTCAAGTGCTTATCATGAACTGTTATCAAAATTTCCGGAAATTACTCGTCCTGCTGGCACCTCGTCAGTGAAACATAATACGGTTCATCATATTCGAACGACACCAGGACCGCCTGTGTCAAGTAAACCGCGTCGGTTAGCTCCAGAAAAGTTACATACTGCTAAAAAAGATTTCAACACATTAGTGAAACTCGGTATCGCGCGACCGTCGGAAAGTTCATGGTCGTCGTCTCTCCATCTCGTTCCGAAAGATAATGACGAATGGAGGCCATGTGGTGACTATCGCGGTTTAAATGCAAGAACGGAACCTGATCGTTACCCGGTTCGACATATTCACGATTATTCACACAATCTGGCGGGAAAAAACATTTTTTCAACAATTGATTTGGTAAAAGCGTTTCACCAAATCCCGGTAGCAGATGACGATATATGTAAAACTGCCATCACAACGCCTTTCGGTTTGTTTGAGTTTCCGTTCATGACTTTCGGACTTCGAAATGCGGCTCAAACTTTTCAACGCTTCATGGATGAAGTGTTACGTGATCTCGACTTCTGCTTCACCTACATAGATGACATCCTTGTTGCATCTTCTTCACCGGAGGAACACCTTCAACATCTCAAAATAGTGTTCGAGAAACTAAGACTTTATGGTGTTGTTGTGAACCCGTCAAAGTGCGTGTTTGGACAGAAAGAAGTGAAGTTTCTCGGTTACCATGTTAGTGAAAGTGGTACTCAACCTCTGCCCGGGAAGGTTGACGCCGTAGTGAATTTTTCGCGACCAGAGACAGTGAAACAACTTCGTCGGTTTCTAGGTATGATTAACTTTTATAGAAGGTTCATACCAAATGCTGCACATGTCCAGGCTCCCTTGAACGACCTGCTTCAAGGAAATGTGAAGGGAAAAAACGCCCGTTCAATGGACAAAAGAGGCAGAAGCTGCGTTCGAAGAAACAAAGCAGAGTCTGGCGGACGCCACGCTCCTCTCGCATCCGACCGTCAACTGTCCACTAGCCATCTTTTGCGACGCGTCTGATAACACAATCGGCGCTGCCTTGCACCAACAGGTAAATGATGATTGGCAACCTCTTGCTTTCTTCTCAAGGAAGTTGAGTAGCACTGAGCGTAAGTACTCAACTTACGATCGCGAACTTCTGGCCATCTACGCAGCAGTGAAGTACTTCCGACACATGCTTGAAGCAAGTACTTTCACCATTTTTACCGATCACAAGCCTATAACATATGCGTTCAAGAAAAAGGATCATCAATCTACACCACGTCAATTCCGATACCTGGATTACATAGGACAATTCTCCACCGACATCCGTCACATCGCAGGAGAGGAGAATGTCGTGGCTGACGCTCTCTCACGCGTTGAAGAAGTAGAATCCACTCTGGACCTGAAGGAGCTAGAATTGGGACAAAGGAATGATCCTGAATTAAGAAGGTTGGAAACTGAAAAATCAGTTTCTTTGCAACTCAAACTAATAAAGATGCCAAATTCAGACATCTCGTTAGTTTGTGATGTGAGTACACCAGTTGCTCGCCCATACATTCCGGAACCGTTCCGGAAAAGAATATTTGATTTGGTTCATAATCTAAGCCATCCAGGTGTGAAGGCAACGATCAAAATGATAACGCAACGTTATATTTGGCCGTCAGCTAAAAAAGACTGCGGATCCTGGGCCAAAAATTGTGTTGAATGTCAACGAGCCAAAGTCACGCGACATGTGCATTCTACGCCTGGAACTTTTCAACTGCCATCTGCACGCTTCGAACATGTTCACTTGGACATAATAATAATGACAAGTTCTGAAGGATGTCGATACTGCCTGACTTGCGTTGATCGTTTTTCTCGTTGGCCCGAGGCTGTGCCAATGCTGGACCAAGAAGCTGCAACTGTTGCCCGTGCCTTCTTCTCTAACTGGATCTCGCGATTCGGAACACCATTGAAGATAACCACTGACCAAGGAAGACAATTTGAGTCGCACCTGTTCAGAGAACTTAACCATCTGACAGGTACTACTCACTTCAGGACAACGCCTTATCATCCTGCAGCAAATGGAATGGTGGAGAGGTTACATCGACAACTGAAAGCAGCCATCAAGTGCCACAACAACTCTCGCTGGACTGAAATCCTACCTTCAGTTTTGTTAGGAATCAGATCAGCTTGGAAAGAAGATCTGCAGTCAACAGCCGCAGAAATGCTGTATGGACAACAACTTCGCCTTCCTGGAGAGTTCCTGTCGTCTGCAGCATATTCAGAGAGCGCAACAACACAATCCGCCTTCGTGAAGGAACTGCGGGAACACATGAACAAATTGCGACCAACGCAAGGTTCCAGGCATGGAACCAAAACAACATTCGTGTTCAAGGACCTTCAAACGACGAATTACGTGTTTCTTCGCACAGATTCTGTCAAAGCACCACTCCAGAATCCATATGAGGGACCTTTTAAAGTTATCACGCGCTCCAATAAAACATTTGTTATTGAAGTGCGTGGTAAGAACATTTGTGTTTCAGTTGACCGTTTGAAGCCAGCCTATGTAACGGATGACGTTACCATTGACGAGAGTGACAGCGATGAAGAAGAAGTGCCAGCGTACGTTCAGGGAGAACGTGCCCTAGCACGACCAATGCCGCTCTACCAACCATTTCCTGTTCCACCACAAGTTCCGGTACCGGAACCTATTCCGGAGCCCGGGAATGCTGCAGTACCACCAAGAGATGAGATTCCCGATCGCACTTTACGTACGCGATCAGGTAGAAGAGTACGATTTCCAGACCGCCTACAAGCTGGTTTTTCGTGACTCAATCACTAGCAGGGGGGTACTGTGGCGACTGTAATCTAATATCATTTTTTATTACACGGAATTGACACAAACAAATAAACACACATACACACACATAATGTAACACACTACATGAAATATCATTATGTTTCTTATGTTGAATTCTTGGTTGTGCTCAAAAATAATATTAATATAAATTGTAACTTATACAGTTTTCTAAATGTAAATTTAGTTTTCCTTAAAAGTGTTCTGTACGAAACTTTTCTTCCCTTTACGGTCAACGTGTATACCTACACCGAGACCCTATCATAAAAATCGGTTCGTACAGGATAATAGCAAATATGCAGGTTTAAACTTGCAATTCCCACTCTTTACCACTTTTTCATCTTTTTCTATCCTTTACATATTTTTGGCTAATTTTTCTCTATCTCTTTTCCCAAGCGACGCTTAAGTTTGGTAGTAGCCATTTTACATTCAGTAATTGCCTACTTCTCGTCCTGAGCACAACCTCGCTCCGAGAACAAAATATTTTTAATAAATTATTGATTTTGTTAATTTAAATTGTTGTATTTTTATTTATTCTTATAAATTACCCGAACGACTAAACATGTATAATTGGTAATTATCATAAAGGTAAAAAGTAGGTCTTTGTCGAGATGAGGAAATAGTACTTGAAAAAAATGCGATGCTGAAAAAGACACTCGGCATATGTCAGTTACATTTCTGAAAGATAATGAAGTCCATCGAATAAAAGCTGCTTCAAATAGAATAATAGTGGTGAAATAATAGATTTACTCAAAAGATTTTGTGTTAACGAAAAAAAAGTCTTTGGATTTTTCTAAGCCAGGTGTTCTCAATGCAGACTGCTGTCGCCTCACCGGCATATCAAAAGCAGACTTTAGTAATGTTTAATTACATTGAGAAAAAATTCGAAATACATCTGCAAGAAGTACAAAGACAAGTTTAATAGCTATTTGGCTGAGAAAGCTTTGAACAGGTACCGTCAGATGGGGCTATTAGTAACGAGGGGTTATTAGCATCTGAAATTTCATTTAGTTCAAGCACTGCTAAGCGTCTCTACCTATTGATCGATTTGGGTACTGTTTTGGTTTGACTGGTAAAAACTTTTATTGACAATACTATCCCGAATAAAAATTAAGCTCCGATCTATGTAGCCTCTATGTCATCTGGCCTACTGTGCGACATAGGCCTGCGAGTTAAAACTAACATACAGTCTATGACAGAAATGTAACGCTCGGCTACATAGACTATACATGGGCTTAACAATGTAGGACCTACATGAAAGTTCTACATAGGCTCTATGTAGGTAAATATACATACGATCTACGTAGGATTGGAATGTAATATTTATATAGGCCAAATAATATAGAATCTACATAGAGTGTAAATGTCATCTCTACATATACAAACTGATGTCAAATCTATGTGTATGTAGTATCTATCTAGGCCAAATAATATACAGTCTATATAGAGTGTAATTTGTTCTCTACAAATAGAAGGGATTTATATTTAGTTTAGTTTGGTGTTAAAATTAATTGTAAATATTTTATTATTCTAGTTCTAATAAACAAACAGAAATTACAATTAAATAAAAGAATAAAATTAAAACAATTTCATTATATTTATATACATTTATTCAGTTCCAGTTTTTCATAAGATAAAAAAAATTAAACTCGTATTTATGATACACAATTTATTTATAATTATTTTATATACATTTTTTTAAATTTATTGAATAAATCAATTTAATAATTTCTGTAAAATATAATTAAAATGTATCAGTCCTTTAAAATTCGATATCACACAATAACACTTAAACAATTCACTTTACAACAAATTGTTCACTTAAAAATATCCATTTTAATGCAACAATTCACAAAAAAACTCACTTCACAACAAAATATTAACTTCAAAATAATATTGTCACACACGGTTTTAGACTCTTTGTGACGAATGCTAAAGAGCAACTGACGCTCGAAAGACCTTCGGAAAAAGATTTTACAGAAAATATTTGAAGTCTTTTAACATTTGCTCTGTATATTTCAATCTGAAAAACTTCTAAGTTTTTGTCTAAGTAAATCTATAAGAAAAAAAGAGAACTGGAAAAGCTATAGAATAGTCCCCCTCTTACAATGAGGAACCCTTAAGATGGTCAACTACGACTAACCAGATGTGACAACTCTTGAAAACAAGAAAATTCTTTTAACATTTTATATTTTTACCTTCATATGAAAAATGTTTTACAGTTTTAATAATATTAATAAATTAAAAAGTTGCTTTTAATTGTTTGTAAAATAATTATATTTTTAAATATATTTTAAATACTTCTAAAAATATTTCTAACTCTTTGGCAGTCAACATTTTTTAATAAGATTTTGGATAAAAATGATTCTCTATTAACAAAAAAATAGCTTTTTTTATTTGATTTTTGATTGCTTATATGCAATCAGGGTTTTTTCTATATTATATTAATGAATATCATATTGTGTTCGTATATCCTATACAGATATTACATCTCTAGGCCTATATAGTGAGACCTACTCATAGCTTATCTCGGTATTACGTTGGGTGGCCTATATCTTTCCTATGTACGAATACTAATGTAGATCCTAAATAAATTTAATATATATGGGCCTACATAGAAAGACCTACCCAAATATTACCTCAATACTATGTTGGACGACCTATATCTGTCAGACATGGGAATGTTGATGTAGATCCTACATAGATTCAGACATTGCAGGCCTACATAGATATGCCTACACAAAACCTATGTAGACACTACATTGTAAGGCCTACATCAATTGACTATAGAAAGGCCTACGTATATCCTACATAGATACTACATCTTATAGGCCTTCATAGGGAAATCTACGTACACTCTACATAGAATGTACATAACTTGGCCTACATAGAAGGCCGATTTTAAGGCTACATAAATCCTACGTAGTATTTACATAGTCCGTGTTAGATTTTTATTCGGGATTGTGAATATTGTTCAAGTGCGGGAAATACATGCAGGCCTACGAAATTTTACTTTTTTTTAATTTTTGATTGCTTAGTGGTTATCAGTATATTTTTGTCCGTTGAACATGTTCGCGGGACCTAAAATTGCCTACGATGTCAGGATTTTGAGAAAAGTGGGGGTAAAGACCACAAAAAAGTGTCTTGGATTTTTTAAAAGTGCTTTTTTCGGCTTAACTTGAAGTAGAAAAAAAAGAAGTCAGAAGCTAATAACTACTTTAGAAAAACGTCATTTAGAAATGAAGAAGGTATATCTATTGCAAACTTTCCTATCCTTTACAAAATTTTCTAAGAATTACTATAGACGTGAATCAATGTCTTTAGAAACAAGCAGCTTCTTACAAGCATGGAACAGAAAATATGTTGAGTGCAAAGATAAAATCATGGTACACATGTTAGAAGCAATATCAAATATGGATTTAGTATGATGAGCTCAGCTTTGATCGTATTAAAAGATTCTAAAGTTAATGTAACACACACTGAAGACTGTTGTGCGCAAACAACATTATTTTTATGGTCTTTAGGACTCTTCAGACATGAAATGAAAACCATAGTACATTATGACGATTTCCCAGAATTCTTATTTGATGTGTAAGGTCGGTAACTGATGTATTAAAAGAAGAACCAAACGATTGAGATGTCTGATGCAAATTTTCATAGGGGGTAAGGATTCTCTTACTGAATAAACACCGTATATGTAAATATATAAAAAAATATTTAAAATCTAAAAAAGAGATAACACGACTCACGTTAATTAAGTTCTAACATAAAAACCATAAGTCCACAACACTGAAAATTTATTAAATATTTACTTGCAATGTTTGGAATACTTAAATGCAAAGCTTACATTATATTAAGTTATTATATTACATTATCATATTTAAGTGACCTCAAAAAGCTTCTATAGTATCAATAACTTTCAAGTGAATTCGTTGACTTACAAATTCGTCCATACTAATTACCGGATATATCTGCGACCTATTTTATCGACTGATGGTAAATTTTTAGCTACCTTAGAAGCTAATCGATATAAGGTTATATTTGTGTTACTTTTACTCCAATTAAAAGTTTTTGTTTAATTTTGTAAAATCAAATATAATTGTTATTAATTATTTTAGTTGTAATGAAGATTTTAATATCAGTTCTTTATGTTGAGGGTTAATCCCCTTTGTGTAATTTCATTCCAAACATTACAAACATAACCTACAACTTTTTGCTTCTAAGGTACCTTTTTTCGTTATACGCATTACACTTATTTTAGTTAACGAAAAAATATAGAGACAATGATATGAATTTTAAATTTTAGTTTTGTTCAGAATTTTTCAAAATGAAACGAGTATATTAAACATTTTATAACATTTTTGGCTGTCTAAATTGCATTTAAATGAATTAATTTTGAAATTATGCAAAGGACATTGACCAGTTCCAGGTTTCCTAGGTTTTCCACGTCTGTGGCAAATGGAAAAATCATTTTTTATGTCGGATTACCGAGAAAATATATTTTATATATATATTTTATGTATTACCGAGAAAAAATATTTTTGTTAATTTAAAGAAATGTTTCTTTAATTTTGACTTTAATTTTGAAATGGAAAAATGATTTTTGAAACAAATAAAAAACTTTGAATGAAATATAATATATCATATTTTATAATTCTTAACTCAATATGGTAAAATTATATAAAGAAAATGCTGTTGAATTCACTGTATGCATATTCATATGCGCTCAAAAGCAAATATAATTTACTTGATTTTATGGCGCTGCTTAGTGAAACAAAAAATATCTCCTTTATTCAAGAGCAGTGCTATAAAATTAACTAAATATTATATCAAGTAAATTACATTTGCTTTTATTTATGATTTTATGTACATGAATATGCGTAATAAATATTCGGTAGCAATTTTTTCTTATTTTAGTGTTCATTTTTCATATTTGTTTGAAAATCTATGTTAACTAATACTGTTCAAGAGGTTTCCTGAGAATATTTATTAACCAACCAATACACAGTTAGTGCATTGGTCTTAAAGATTTAAATTTAAATAATAGTAATTGAAAAATTTTAATTTAATTAAAAAACTTTTTTTATATTATAATTTGGAAATTAATTAGATGTTAATGGCATTCCATGTCATTATTCAGGCGATCGCTCCCCCCATGTTTGTGATTCCCCTAAAAACGCCGTCTACCTGAGCTATTGTTAAAGTGTCTGATTTCTCCTGAATGCAAGTATGTATCCTCTTCTCCACAGTTTCAGATTGTTTACTTAAAAAATGTGGGAAGTCAAAATTTTCTGTCCTTCACGTTGAAACATGTTAATATTAACAGATTGAACTGGGGTTTTGCAAAACAAATTTTCATTGTAAACGTAAATTTATTTTAAGATTTTTTAAGAGAATAATCTTTTAAGAATATTTAAGATTTTTTAATCAAATGCCCTTAAACATTGAAGGAATTTATAACATATTCGTTTTAAAAGAATTAACCAAATCTTAATTTAGAAAACAGATTCAATCATAATTTTTGGTTAAATCTTATAAAACACTTGTAAATTAAAATATATACCCTCTTTTATATCATCTAAGTTTTCGTCGGGGGTACAAAACGTGAAATTAACTTTGATTTTTTGTAAGCTGAAACATAAATTATTTTTTAAGTAATTATTAAGCCAACAGATTAGGTTTTGAGAATTTTTCTGACTATAAAACTCGAAAGCACTTTAACAGAATTATTAATTTTGTATTTTACTAAAATTTGAAAAAAGTAGTGAAAACCTTAGAATTTGTACTACAGAGACTGTTTGCGTTCGGCACTATTCATATATTTTACAGCGGAAGTCAACTTGACTATCCAAAATTACCTTCTTTGACGATAATAGTTTTCTAAATTTAAATTGGAGACATCTTGACTTGGATTTTCGTCTACAATGTTTCGAAGACATTAAAAAGTAGACCAAAAGAAACATATTTTTTATACATTTAAACAACAAAGTACGCAACGGTTTTCACCGATTTAACAAAATTTAACGTTTTTTCGATACGCAAAGCATGTATAAAATGGAGCTTAACTTGTTTGAAATCGTTAATTATAATAATACTAGAATGCTAATAAGTTGCAGTTTGCTAAGCATAACTATGTTCCAGCTTACAAATTTATACGTATTTTCTTCCATCTTAACCCTTTAGACCCTTAATGTAAAATACTTATCTTCTTCAGGCAAGCCACTGATGGTTATGCTTTAGTCTATTAATATTCCTTTCTCCCCTTGAAAAGTAAACTCGTGAGAACGCCGTGAGACATTCTCACCTATTAGCATAAACTTTATGTAAAGAACTTTCTCACGTTCAAGAAATCGATACAAACAACCCTGCAAAGAAGAAGTTGATTAGTTTCTGTTATTGTATTACTATTTTCATTAGAACACTAGACATTAGACACTCCGAGTGCGAAATCGCATAAGACTGCCAGCACTGCCTATAACACCACGACGTCAGTCAAGAAATGCCGAACTATACACTTAATCAGGACTGGCGTTCAAATACTTGCACCGATTCTCAATTATTCAAATCTGCTTAATTTGGATCAACTCTCAACCCAATTACGGCGCATTAATGGTTCAAGTGTCAACTCTGCAAGTGCCGGTTGTCTATGCTGGGTTCGCACTGGGAATCTTAAATTTCTGAGCACGTAAAACAGTTTTGGTGAATCAGTATACTTAAAAACAAAAAGTCACGTGTAACAATTTATTGTTTTCCAAATCAAAATTTTCCTGGCATATAAACTCATGTAGAAAGAAATTTTTAATAGAAGCAAAAAAATTAATGAATCCATATTTTTTCTTTTATACAAACCAAACAAACTGATGACCAATGCAGGATCTCATCATCAATTAATCTATTTAAGTGCCATACTACAATCTTTTAGTATATTGATAAGTCCCAGAATGCTTTTATGATGGTCTAGGCTGGTGACGTACATCTTTTGTTTTATCTGAAAAAATTAAAATTCTATAGTTCCTTGAAATAGTTTCTCTAGTGCAACTTGAAAAGTAACTAATATAAACTTAATTGTCTGTACACACAACTTCATAATGTTTGTATGAAAAACAAAACTAAGTTTAACAATTTTAAATTTTATTAAAACCATTTCCAACTAATATATCAAATGAAATAGTTAAATTCTGCTAAAAATTAGTGAAATTTCAATTTTAATTAGTGGACGACTGTTCACAAAGGTTTTAAATATACAACACAATTGTTGTTTTTAAGATCATTAAGAATTACCTTAATGATCTATTTAATTCAAATTAAATATAATTAAATGATTTCAGACCTCCATGAAGTAAACGTCGGCGCTCAGCGTCGAAAGTTTTTGGGGATGAAAATGTTACTGCTTCCATTCATTTAGCAGAGGGTTGAAACTTTTCAGGGCTAAGCGTCGAAGCCAACTTCATGGAGATAATTTCCATTTATTAATTAGTAGGAAAATATCTAGAAATACCTTGATAATGACATAGGGTAACTGCACCAATTGCCGAGGGTGCTCCAATTGTCGAGGATAATAATTTTCTTTTTTAGATAAATAGTATAATATATAATATTTAAGAACAAAAAAAAATTCGAAATAATCTTTGTATTTTCAACTGTATATTTATATATACAAATTTCGTAGCGATTCTACTAAAATAATTATTTAATTAATATTATAATTCACTGCTGTGAAATTTACACGAATCTCCATTTTCTTAATACTTCAGGTTGATTAAAACAGATTTTTAGAAATGCAAATTAAACGTATTTATAATGACTTTTTGTGTACAAAATTATTATTATAATTTTGTACACGAACTAAATTAATTTTGTATGCATGTTTTTTTGTTAAAAAAAAATATTTAATATTTTTTAAAAGCAAATCATCGGTATTTGGTTCCTTTTTTTTGACAGTTCCATTTTTCGAGGTAATGACTCGAAAATTGGTGTAGTCACTTTTTTCGCTGATGCACCATTTATCGATGGTTAAGTGTTTATTTACTAAACGTCAAACATAAATGCCAAACATTTATAGGTACACAGAAAAAGAAAAAAAATGCTCCAAAAATTTACAACCAACAGAAAATAATCAACCAAAAAAACGAGGAAGACGGAAAAAAAATTAATAAAAAAAAATGCATTATTTAAAACTAAAAAATTTTGTACTATAGTTTAATTATAATTAACCATTATATTTACAGTTCGTAATAAAAGTTTATTTTATTCGTTTACAAGTTTAATGTGACTTAAATTAATTTATTTTTTAAATTAATGTCTGATTAACAAAATTGATTAAATTTAATTAACTTATATTTATAAAAGTTTAAAAAACAGTTAAATAATTTTCTGTCCTGTATCATCTACTATAAAAATGTTTTATATCGATATTATAAATTATTCAATTATAGTTAAATAAATATATTTGTTTTCTGGTAATGTTCTATAATATTTTTATCGAAAAAATAAATATCTATTCGATTTTCTAATATCTGTACAGGTTAATTGTTAGGTTATATTGGGTTATATGTTTAAAAATGTCATACCCTCGACAATTGGAACAGACCCTCGAGAAATTAGCACAAGACCATCGACAAATGGTGCTTTTGCTCGATTGACTTTTAAATATATTTTTTGCTTAACAATTTAGTTTATATTAAAAAAATAAATATGAATATTAAACATTATTAGATCCTTCGTCCAAATATACAAAAATCAAATTTTTAAGTGCATTTACTTCCGAGAAAAAAAATGTCAAAGTCACATGTTGCCTAAAACCCTCGACAATTGGTACAGTTACCCTATACTTAAGATGAGGATAAATTAACTAGAATTTAATACACTTGCATTTATTACAATAATTTATTGCATTAATGCACTTTGCGTTTTATCTGCGATAAGTATTAAACGTAGCAAAATTTACTTCGAAAGTAGTCAAAGTTACCGGAAATGTTTTACTATGAAAGTAGTAAAAGTTTCTTTATATTTTTCTCCGTGTATAAATCTTTTCGTAAATATGCATAAGAGTCATACTGGCGGAGGTGTGCGAATTTTGAAAAATTCGATTCTCTCCATAAAAATTAGGCTTTTGAGTTCACGAAAAATTAAAATTTTTGCATAATCAATATTACTTATTTCTATTTATATAGATTTGAAGTGTAAAAGCTCTAGTCTTGCAAGGCTCTCGAAAGCTTTGTAATTCAAGAGACTTTTACTAAAGGCAGATATAAATCTTGCAGCACTAATTATAAATCTAATGAAGCATTAATTATTTTTCCCTTGTTCTATTTTATAGTTAATTTTAAATATATTATTTGCAACAAAATTTCTGTCTACTGAAAAGGGTCGATTCACGATTCACTGCCAACTCATCCCTGCGTACTTTGACCCACTATACATAGCCGAACGTACCCCTTCGCCTGATTAAACTATACATACTGAAAGTTAGCCCTTCCTTTGAATATATAGTCAAATTCAGCATCATCGATACATGCTGCAATGTTTACATACACCTGTCACTTTATATTCAGATTTTTCTAGCTATGCAGGTTTATAGTTTCTTAGTGTGTTTAGAATACTCTGATGCAGAACAAAATAAAAATTCTTGCATTCGTATAGGCGTTAATTTTCCCCCCTTTTTTGTTCTAAATCAATAAATCGAAATTTTATTGGCCAGTAATTACACGAAAGTTTTTTTCAAGTAATAATCATTCTGCATCAAGATTTCTGTATTATAAGGAGTTTAAAAATGTTCAAATAGAAATTTGAATTTTTAAAAAAAAATTGTGTGCAAAAAAAGATATATATGTTCAAAAATTAGACCACTTCACAGTAAACTATGAAATTTTAAAAAGCGTTGCAGCTTAAGTTTACACTAAAAATGTTTTCCCTTTCACACTTCGAAGATGTTTCAATTTTCCATTTTTCAAAAATCTATGCAAAAATATTGAGAATGAAAAACTAAATTAACTATAGGTAATGGATAAACACTCGAACACTTACAAAGTAAAACAGAATGAGTGGATAGAAAAATATTAATTTTCATCAGATTTCAAAAGAAATTGGCAAAAAATTTTTTATCATATAAAATAAACACTTTTAAATTACTGTCTAGTATACTGAATTAAAATTTCCACCAGAGAATACCATTCTTGAAGACGATTGTTTTGGAGTTTGTTCCGAATCTCACGACAACTTTACGATCAATGGAATAATTGAAGGGTGAACTTATCAAGAAAAGAATCCGATGTCATTTCATTTCTCCCAGGTCGCCTCACTTTAATAGCCTTTTGTAAAGCTACAGTGAAAAAGTAAATGGACATTAGGGTTGCTCGAAAATACCAACAAGTTGAAGAAGACAGAATTATTTCTCTCTCACGCTCTTCAATTGTAAATGTTCAAAAAGTGTCCTCTAACAATTAATTTAACTCACTTAATTTTCCATTTAATTCATCATTAATATTTTTAACAAATTTTTTTAAATTTCTAAAATTTCTAGAATTTTAAAATACAAATTTCTGGAATTATTGTTTAGAAATTTCTTGTATTTAATTTATTAAATATTTCCGAATGGAACAAAACAAAATTGAAATAATAATTGTGTCACACTACGAAGAAAAACCTAAGGAACAAAAACTTACTGGTTGTGTTTATGATCATTTCACCGTCCGTAGTTTTTAATGGCCCCCATAGGAATAGGAACCGTTACGAATATATCGAAAAATATCGAAATAGAAAATGATGAGCATTGATAAGTGAAAAGTGAATATATAGAAGGGCGAACTCACATTTCCAAATGAAATATAGTATACCTTAAAAACTCACATATACCTATGAGATGGAGCTACAGTCGCTTTTTTCAATATCATTGGACTTGCAATTTTTATTTAATTTTAGAGAAACTAAATAATAATTTAAGTAGTTTTAGGTGAATTATAATAAACAATACAAAATTAAATAAAAAAGGCATGTTGAATGGAAATAGGAGGAAGCAACGAAGTCGAGGCGCTAAAATTAAAAATAATTGTTCAGCAGCCCCATTCTTGCTTCTGCGGACATCATTCATTATATATATCTTCTTCTCAGTGAAAAATTGAAATTTAATCTGAAAATATCTAAAACTCGCTGTGTTCTTAACAAATTCTACCTTATAGAATATTTTATGTCTAGTTATTAAATTATTATATATTTTCTACTAGCTTTAACATAAAAAACGAAGTAAATTTTCCAGAATCTTTTAGGAATGAGAAATGTTCAAATATGTGCTTATATGTAGGCGAGAATGCATCACGGTGGATAATAAAAACCTGTAGATCGTATATTAGAAGTAAAACGCCTTGTCAATTAAAAAGTTCTAACAAAAAGAAAAATTCTCATAAACTCAAGTTAATGTAATTCTTAAAGAAATTGAATCATAAGTGAATCAAAAGTTGGTAATATTATTATAAAAGAACGCAATTTTATCGATTGTTAAAAGGTTTGCCCTACAGTGGGTAATTGTCTTATTTATTACCCAGTAGAGTGGAAAGGAGTATGAGTAGAGTAGTTTTATGAGTATAAAGAAATTTGATATAAACTATTATCCTAATGTAAGAGAATGTAATTTAATTGCTGTTTTAAGTAATAGCAGTATAAAATATGCTTACGTTAAAAAAAACCTAAAACTTTTTAAACAGTTCGAACATTAATATTGCATATTCAACGTATAGAATATATAATAAAATTATTTACACTATTGTAAAACTTGAATATTTTATTCTAATTTAATATTCTATAAATGATAATTAATTTTTTTCTCTTTATTTTAATAATAGCTTATCTAAAAACAGTGAAATAAAAGAATGGGGTAACAGTGTTTGCTGGGCCCCAAGTTAACTGAGGGGTGTATTTTTTGCCGGTTTCTCTCCGTCCTTTTGAATGCATAGAGAGAGAGAGAGAGAGAGAGAAGGGGTTAGAAGGACAGAG